TTTAGCAACTACCTATTGATATATATGAAAGAAGTTAAGCAAAATTGCCTTTGACCTCATTATTAGAAGAAATACAGTAAATAGTATTTGTTAATACATAGGTAAAGGAGAAATGTATAGCTCAAAACTCCATTTTTGTGTCACTTCCTAAGTTACTTACAGTGTATTTAATTAATGTTTACATGTGCCAGGCTCTTCAGAGTCTGCTTTATTTAACCTTCTGAGCTTTAATGGCTACGAATCAACATCAGGATTCCTATTTCTGGGTTACTCATTGCTCTTAATGCACACCCACCTCTTCCCTTTGTCTGGAATGCTCTTCCACTTCTTAACCAATGAAAACCTTCCAGTGGTTTATAATGAAACTCAAGTATTCCCCTTCCCATGATGCTTTACCTGACCATTCCTATTCTGGAATAGGTAGCCAGATCAGAGGCTAGCACTGATGTAGGGATAGATCGGTGATCCCTGCCTTGAAGATCGCATTAGTTTTCTACCAATAATGCAAGTTTTGCAACATATTTCACTTGTATTTGTGTGTTTGTGTGCATGTGTCTGTGTTTGGAATTCTTTAATTGTAAGGAACAAGTGCCATAACAGGTAAAAACATTTCTCATTCCCTTGTGATACTATGATCCCTAGGAAATGCTCTAGAAATACATAATGAATGAATGAATGAATGAATGAATGAATGAGGGAAAGACTGTCAAGTCCTATTTAGTAAAGCCTTTCAGTTACAATGACCCTGGAAAGGAATGAGGAACATAAAACTAGGAAAATAATCTTTTTATTGTAATGAGGATTCTGTAGTCCTGGAAGGGAAAATTTATCAGCATTAAAGTCTTGTGCAATGTCAATCCGTTTCTTGGAGGAACCATGTGAGGTAGATAGATGACAAAAGAGTAATCAAGCAATTGCCATAGGGCAAGATTAGTGTGCTGATTTCAAGCAAGGTGGACAGATTGAAAAGATAAAGCAATGCACTCCTGGAGGGACTAAGATATTGTTCCTATTGCTGGAAAGTGACTGCAGCAAAATATGTATAAAAAAATCAAAAGGTACTGTTTAGCATGGGAAAATATACACACATTAAAAACTACGCCCTGCCAAGGAATTATTTAGATAATAAATACATAAATAAACTTATGAAGTTGTTGGTATTATTGTAGATAATGCTTGAGCCTCTTATAGGACAAATGTCATAAATAATGTCATCTATTTATATTGTCTATGGAAGTTGATGTTTTCCAGGCAGGCTGATAATGGTTTTTAGGAATCACCAGTGGTAGAAAATTAAAATATTGTATAAAAATTCAATTGGTTTTGAAAACCTAAGTTCAGGTTTATATCATAAGTAAATATATTCTACTTGATTGTCTCTCACTGTTGGAAAGAAATTATGAGTTGGTCTCGTTACATAAACGAGAGAGCTGAAGCTCCGATCCATACTAGTATGTTTTCATTATGATGACATAGGTTTAACAATGATGTTTCCTCATATAGATTTTTGATAGCTAAACAAGATAAACAAGAAGGGAGGCTGTAATGAACTTTATAGTGCTGGGTTTGAGTTGGAGTTACCAACTCATGTTTACCTGAATGTTGGGAGCTAGCATTGGGAGCTAGCAGAGTTGAGGCAAGCAACTCAGTGTTAAGGAAATAGAATTAAGTTCCTTCTAGCAGAGGTTGTGTGGTGCCCTGAGGGCTTGGCCAGAAGATAAGATTAACCTGGGGTTTAGCATCTCCTGTCTTCCTGCCTCTTCCCCTTCCTGATCCTCCCCCCCCTAGATAGCCCAGCCTTTGAATATTGCACCTTGGAATGTCACACCGCCTCTGGCAATTAGTCAATCCTGTGTTGCCATACCAAAGACCCCCCTGCATGGGCGGCCCTGCCCCCCTTTGTCTCTGCTGTATAAATACAGCCATTTCAGAGAATAAAACTGAGGCTTGATCAGAACCTTGTCTTGCCTCCATTCTTTCCGCGTTCCTTGTTTGATTCATTCTCTTAGGTGGTTCCTGCGTGCCCCCGTTGTTGTCCCGCGGGCCGGGACACCTGAATGCATATTTAGATAGATAGAGAACACAGATATGTATGAATACATGGGTTGCAGTACATTATCTTGGTTTTATTTGAGAACCTAGAAGCAATAACAGCTCACTCACATTGACCAAACTCACTGTTCAGATTTTGGTTTTTAAATATCACTCTCTATTGAAAACATACACAAAAAACAACAAACAACAACAAAATCACAACAGGACTTCTTTAAATATATAAGATAATCCATACTATACATAACCAAGAAATAGAATAGAGAAGCTATCTATCTATCTATCTATCCATCATCATCTATCTATCATCTATCTACCTATCTATCACTATTATCTATCTATCATCTATCTATCTATCTACCTATCTATCTACCTATCTATCATCTATCATCTATCTATATATCCATCATCTATCTATTTATCTATTTATCTATTTATCTATCTATCATCTATGTATCCATCATCTATCTATCATCTATCTATCATCATCTATCTCTTTTCATTGAAAAATCTAGATGAAGCCTGCTCTGAGGCATACCATGTGTTGTCCCTCCTGGACAGTGATTTATCAGCTCTATTGACCACATTCTGCTGGCTATCTGGGTGTTTTGAGTATGAGGCTGTGGCATGTTGCTCTGTGGAACCCTTCCCCAAAGCACTGCTGGCGGATTTGGTTCTATAGAATCATAGGTCTGGGGAGTTGAGTTGTAAGGCATCTTAGACCTCTTCTATATGATCATTTCATTTAATACATTAGTAATCTGCAGCTCAGAAAACTGGGAAATATTTATCTAGAATAACACAAAAGCAATAAAATCACACACATTAGCTAGTAATGATCCTTTGAATTTGTATACTGATGTAGCAGGATCTTTTTCCTCTGCCTTTACAGATGCTCCAAAAAGAGGCTAGGGATTGTTTTTCATATGTGAACTCACACTTGGGGACTATAGGAGGATAGTCATATTCATAGAATGGTTTCAAGGGCATACCCTCAGGATTAAAAGCTCAGTTGCTGGCTCTGCCATTACTAGCCACAATTTTATTCTTCCCTGTTTTTGTTTGTTTTTCTTCAGCACTGTTGATTATTTCTGTTATTTATGAATGCATACAATCTACCCCATCCTCCACTTGCCTTTCTTTCCAAACCAACCCAAAACTGTCTTTTTTTGGTGTACGTTAGGGACAGGTATGACATGAGGAGACTTCTATAGAGATAAAGCTAGAGATCTGTTATTCAGAGAAAGATAGCTCGAATTCATAAAGTAAAATGGATGTTTTAATTAAATGGAATAATAGAAAATTTTAAAATGAAGTTACTATCTTGGCAAAGTACAGTTATGTCATCTGTGGTCATATTAGCTGAGATGTCCTTTTGACAGTTAGTTGAAAAATAAAACTTGTCTTATATTTGTATCGATGGTGGCATCACATCACATGAAAGCTCAAACCTTTCATTTTAGAGAAGAATAAAAGGTGACAGTTACCTTTGCATCGAGAGGGCTCTACCTGTTGACCAGCTAGGTGATGATTTCAATAGTTCGGTGGGTTTTGCAATTTTAATTTAACTGAAATTCAACTTGAATTTTATGTGGCCTATTTTATTTTATTATCTTATAAGATAGACAGAACGTTGACAGCCTTGTTGTTTACACTGAGTGAAAAGAGAAAAAGAAAACATTTCTAATCCCATTTAACTTGCAAGACTAAATCTTTATAAACTGAAACAACAAAGGTATGATTTATGCAATCCGATTTCTCACAATTAGGTGGTGTTTTTTGTTGTTGTTGTTTTTTGTTTTTGTCATAACAGTCTGTTGTGAAGTATAACAGGAAAGTGGGTAAATAACAAAAGATGCCATTTTAAGAGCAAAATTCCAGAACTTGGAAACCCTCTGAAGAAAAGCACTCAGAAGTTTTAGTTAAATATCATCTGCAACTACAGATACACGTGGTCTCTAATAAAGGAAGACTTGAAGGAGTAAAGGTAATCCATTTCCCCCCCAAAAAAGTCTTTACCTGGTTGGGCCCTTGCCATACTTTCATATTAACTGACCCATTCTCCACCTTCCCAAACGTTATCAGATGAACATAGGCAGGCACTAGCTGTATTCTCTTTCTAGTGATATCTCAGAAGCTTGTGTCTGATTACTGCAACCCAACTTCCCAGGCTCTAAAATGCAGCCAAGGGAACCCAAAGAACTGGCAAGGTTCGAAACACTTTCTCTCTCCCAGTTGGATGAAATTAGAGGATTGCAGCTGCTGTCTAGATCAAGAGACCTCAGACCACGCAGGCATAGACACTGCCAGGGCACTCTGGTTTCACACTCCATGCAGCAGGTGGGAGGAAGCCTTAAAGATGACCCTGGAGAGGATGTGACACCATCGCTCCAATGCTTCCTAGGATAACTCATATTCTCCCACCCGGCCAGAGCCACTGTGGACACCAGTGCAATGCTCCAGCCTTCCGGGAGAGTCTGGAGTAGAGAGAACAGGCTGTGTGTGTGTGCATGAAACGCACCCTGTCTTCTATCAGACTCCATGCCAACCGGCTCCAGCGCTACCCTTCCCATCCTCCTTCCTCAGCCCCTGATCAGGGAGGGCCACAGAGGAGAGAAAAACTGTCCTCTGAATGGAGACTGGAGAGCAATGAGCTTTCCCACTTGACAACTCACTCTGTTCTGGTTCCTAGCTGTGCTTCGTGTTTCTCAAACAGCACATCTTAGGCTCTCTTCCATTTCCATTTCCCAGGCCCTCCTTCCCCACCCTGCTCATTGCCCAAACTTTGCTATTTCCATGAACTTTTCTGCCCTCCCCTCTTCCCTGGGACGTGGCCATTTCTCTGGGTCCCTCCCGGGCCTGCCCTCCCCCAGGTCTCCCCTCCTCCTCCGCCCCAGCCCCTGAGACCCCCGGGGCTGCCCCTCGCCGCCTTCCTGCTCCCGCTCCTCCCGCGCCCTTGCGCCCCGCCGTCCCCACTCGGACTCCCCGGCTCCCCGCGCTGTTTGCGGGGACAGATCGGTGCTGCGGCTCGGACCCGCGTCCCCACGCTGCCCAGCGGCGGGAGCGGGGAGGCTGAGCGGAGCGCGGGGCGGAGGGGAGCGGAGCGGAGGGGAGGCGGCCGCCGTGCTCCCCGCCAGCCCGGAGCGTGCGGCAGGGGCCCGGGGGCCTGGGCGGCGCACCCCCCGCCCCTAAGCGGCTGCGGCCCCGGGGCCCGTCCCTCCCCGCGCCGCCGGCACAGGCGCCGGAGAGCGGGGGCCGGAGCGCCGGGCGCCCCTCCCGGAGCCGGTCCCGCTGCGGACCCGGAGCGGAGGGGAAGGAGCCAGCCGGGAGGGTGAGGCGGCTGGGGACCTGCTCCCGGGTGCAGGGGGTGTGGGGGGAGCCCGGCTGGGTGAGCACCCCGGGGTGCAGCGCCCGCCCGGCGGGGGCGCGGGGAGAGGTGCGGGGAGGGCGCGGGGCTGCCGCAGGCAGGAGGGGGAGCGGGGAGGGGAGCGGGGGGCGGGCGGGGACGGCGGCGGCGGCCGCGGGAGCAGACGGCGCGGGGCGAGCGCGCGCGGGGCCGGGAGAGCGCGCGTCCCCTCCCGCCGCCGCCTCCGTCCTCCCCGCCGCCCGCGCCGCCGGACCGCAGCCTCTCCCGGGCGGCGGCACTGCGGGCGCCATCTGGCCGCTCGACATGGGCTGCTGACGGCGAGGGGTCCGCCTCGGAAGCCGCCCCGAGCCGCTCTCCTTTTTTTTTTTCTTTTTTCTTTCCCCCCCTTTTCCTTTCCGGCCGGTTTTTAATTTTAGCGCCCCGGTCGCCCATGCCTGTGTGAGCAGCCCGAGGACGAGTGCGGCGGCAGAGGAGCGCGCGCTGGGGAGAGGAGGCAGGAAGATGAGGAGGATTTGCAGGCAGATTGTCTTGTTGTTTTCCGGATTCTGGGGACTCGCCATGGGAGCCTTCCCGAGCAGCGTGCAGATAGGTGAGCGGCCCCGGGGGGCCTGCGGCGGGCAGCCCGAGCGACTTCCCGGAGTTGCTGATGGGCGATTGGGGGGACCCCTGGGGCCGGCCCCTGCCCCTTTGTCTCTCTTCCTCCCCTTTACACACACACACACACACACACACACACACACACACACACACTCACACTGCCCCTCGGGTGCGGGTTCCTTTGGAAAAACACACAGAACTGCCCGCCTGCCGGCCCCTGCACCTGCTCTCCCCCCCATTCCCACCTTCCGTTCAAGTCGCTTCGAGTGGGATGGGAATAAGTTGAAAATGACCTACGTGGGGTTTGGTTACGTGTTATGGGATATTTCTTTTCATCCGTTTCTCGGGGAGCAGGGAGGGATGTCGAGTTTGCTTTGCTTTGCTTTGCTTTGTTTTGTTTTGTTTTGTTTTGTTTTGTTTTAATGCACTTCTCCCCATGCTGGACGCCGCATCCCTCTCCCCATCACAGGAAGGACGGGAGGGAGGGAGAGGAGGGGGCTTTGCACCTGCACCCCGGCCTTTGCTGGTCAACCGATTGCAAAGTTAGATCCCTCTCCCGCAATCTTCCCTCCGCTTATTTCGTTTCCCTCTTGAATCTTTTTTTTTTTTTTTTCCTTATCCCTGCATGGAGACGGAGACTCTTATTTCCCGGGAACTGTCCATCCTTGGCTTTTCTGGCTGTTCTCCTCCCTGTCTTCATGGGATGCAGCGATTGAATTTCCTCCAGCCCAGCCCGGCCCGGCCTCCGCGCTGCATCATGTCTGGCGGACCGGACCGTGCACAGCACGGGGCTGATGAGGCTGAGCCCCCAGCTGCAGGGAAACTAAGTTCACGTCTCCTTTCCGATCCCCCTGCTGCCTGCGTGGCTGCGCATCCTCTGGTGTCTGCATCTTCATGCCCGTTCTGTTCCCCTGCATGCCTCTCCCCAGCGATGCCATGCCCAATGCCCGGGCTGGCTGGTGTAGCAGTGAGGTGGGGACCGCAGGGAGGGCGAGAGAGCAAAGGCACAACACAGTCTGCGGTCTCCGAGGTCATTGTGATCATGGCACATTGGGGAAGGGGGAAAAAGCTGAGCTGTCCTAAAGGCTGACACACTATAAGCGTGCACCTGAGGGACAAAGGCCGGCCAGCCCACAGGGTAGCTCCTTGCATGGATGTGCTGGGGGAATGGCAGCGGGTCTGACCGTGCCTAGGGTGAGAGCGACACTGACGGGAGAAAACACTGAACGTGCTTCCCCCGCTGTTTCCCATAGGTGGGCTCTTCATCCGAAACACAGACCAGGAATACACTGCCTTCCGACTAGCGATCTTCCTGCACAACACCAGCCCCAATGCGTCGGAAGCGCCTTTTAATCTGGTTCCTCATGTGGACAACATTGAGACAGCCAACAGTTTCGCTGTAACAAACGCTTGTAAGTAAAACATAAACTGTGGATGAATGAGAAGGGAACGGAAATGAGGCACCGGAGTGCCTTTCCTCTTTATTATTCATATTAATTTTTTCAGAAAGAAATGTAAGCTTCTTCACATACGGCTGTTCCAGAGCAAATCAGAGTTAAAAAACAAGGTTTAGTTCTGAGATATTCAGATGGTTTTCTTTCTTTTCCATCTCCCTCCCTCCCTCCCTCCCTCCCTCCCTCCCTCTCTCCCTCCCTTCCTTCCTTTTCCTTTTTTTCATTTCTCATCTGGATAATTCAAGTTAATTTCTCCTTTAACATTTCAGTCACCTGAATGTCAAGTCAGTGAAAATCGTACTCGGGCTAATTTGGATTCTGTCCCTTTGGTTTTCCTTATTTGCTTTTCTCTGGAGTAAGCATATGTCTTGCTTTGAAGGTAGACACATGCTTTCTCTCCCACTGGTGAAAGCGGTGGAAGGTTTGCTAACTGTGAGGGAGAGGGAAGCGGCGGAGTGGAGGACATACATCCTCCTCGGGTGGCTTACGCTGCAGACGATCTGGTGATGTCACTTGAGGCTGTCCCACTCTTATATTCTGGGTTGTAAATGTCTCTTACCGTCACGCAGTGCATACATCCTGTCGATGTAGCTCCATGAATCCTTACCCTGGTGCCAAATCATGTTAGTCTCTACTCCGCCTGAATTCACAAATCAATGCGCTGGATCTATTATCCCACACAATGAAACTTTAGCGTGTGACCCCACCTAATGCCATAGGAACAGTTGAATAGTGCTCCCTCCCCTCCATACTGTATAACTTAATGTAAAAAATTACAATCAACTGTTGATTTACTTGAAAATTCACTCAAGTAGGATCAGTCCATATACCATTGATGTTGCATTTTCACTGTTGAAGAAAATACATGTTTCAGATATCTCCTTAGCTTTACACTCTGACTTACTACTGCTCAAAATGTGTGTGTGAAGATATTGTTACAGATTACATTTCGGAATAGTTTCTACACAACATTTTGCACAAGAATAATAAATAGTCAGTCTGATTGTAGAGTGTTTTATTATAGTAAGTTAAGCATATTTTTATTTTAAAAGCTCTCTCAGTACAAGAAAATGTACCAACTACATAAGTGAAATTGAAAACAGCTTTTAGATGTTTGGAGGCTACCTCTTTCATTAATTTGTTTTAATTCATATTTTCCGTTAATTCATCTAATAATCTGATCAATTGTCCTTAATATTTGGCATCTAAACATTAATTTATCTTAGAAATTGATTTCAAAAGACTGTCAAAGCATTTGACATTTTTGTAAACTGAAACATGTATTGTTTTGCAGGAATGTTATAGTTCCTACGAACACTACTTAATTAAAAAAAATAACTTGGTATTTAGTGATAAAATCAATATTACAGTAGGACAGGAGGGAGTTATTTCCAAGCATAAATGCACATAAATTAGAGCTGATTTTGTGGGTGGTCATTTTTGAAAGTTGTTTAAGTTACTAGTTTTGTGTTCCAAGTTTGAAAGGGATGTCAACATTACTAATAGTTCTAGGTATAAAACATTCTCCTTTGTGTATAAATATTATGTATTTATTTAAAATTTGATCTTCTCTCTCCTGAGATTCTGTGAACAAAAAATTACTAACTTTAAAAATAATTTATGATCCAAATATATGTGAAGGTACTTCGTCAACAGTAAATTACTAATTAAAATTTTATGTTTTGTTATTGCATTTTGAAAGACTTTCCTAAAAGTATCAGGAGTATTAGTTTTATTTTGTTTTTACAAATTAAGTTCTTAAATATTCTAGAGTTTTGGATAATGACGTTCAGTAAAGTACTAATACTTTCTTCCTCCCTATCATTTGATAATCTCACTCAGGATAATTCAGTGTTACTACTGAAGTACCTGTAAGCATGAGAAATTGATAGGAAGTCGCACACAGAATGAAAAAGTTATGCAATATAAATAATAAGGTATTCTTTAATGTTTAAGACTGAGAAATCTGGAACTAAGTAAACTTTAAATTTGCTTATTTGAAATCCACTTTTAACACAATGTTAGTGATATCATCTTTTTCCATAATCACATTAATTGATTTTTATGTAAATATTTAAAATAATTTAAAAAATTTATAACTAAGGACACACAAGAACATATTTTAGTAAAGAAAATGAATTTCTTTGGAGGGGGATGAGTGTGCTGAACGTCCATAAGGTAAACCTAAGCTGAATTTGAGGAAAATCAATGATCAGAGAGCATGGGTCAGGTGACGGTGTTTGTTGAATGGGCTGACCGAGAGGACATGCTATGTGGTTTTCCAGTTTAATTAATGGTGAAACATAAGCAATGAGGCAAACTTTCATACTAAGCTTTATTCCTTTGGGTACAAAAGGATAAAGATAATATGCTAAAGAATTACCATAGGAGTTATTCTTCATAGTGATACAGACTGGGTTTTTAAATTTTTCATGCTGGATTAAATACAGATATAATATGTGATTGGTTAAGTTTACTTGAATTTTGATTTTTCTGCAGTGGATTCTTTTAAAACTGCAGGATCTTGTCTCTCTGTGAATAAAAGTAATTAAAAAGGATATATTTATTTTATGGAGTATATAATCAAACCTCTAAAATGTATTAAATAATAAAATTATTGGTCATCTATTAGACAGGTATAATTTATTTAGCCCTCTAAGATTACTTTGGGCCATCTAAACATTCTATGTATTAAATCTAAATCTGATCAACTCAAATTTACCACTTTTGGTATAAATCCCAAGTTTGTGATGGAGAAAAGTAATTTTAGTTATAGTTTTATTTTTAACAATATTTGCGCAAGATTAAATTCAAATATTGTTTTTCTGTTCTATTTACATTGTTGAAAAGTCAACCTTTGCTCAATATAAAACTGAAATGATAAGAAATACAGGTTTTATAAAATTATGACTTATTTTAATAACAAAAAATAGGTGCAATATATAGAACAAGTATTAAAATTTCAAAATGTGATTAAATGTACACATTTCTTTGCTGTGATCTATCTAACATATGGGAATAGAAAAAAATGATATTTTAAAAAATAAATTCAATATGGTTAATGTTCTTTAATAAAACATTCAACTGACCCAAAATAGCTATCTTTGTAAACAAGAATGCTAGTGAAATTGGATATACTCTTCGCAAAAATTTTGAGACAACCTGAAAGTAGCCTGTTTTCTTATATTTTTTTAATAGTTAATGAATACAGATTTTTTTGAGGATTATGTATATTAAATTTGATTCAAAGTAAAAACCACAATACTGAAGTAGTTCATCAATAAGTTTTCTGAAAGATAAAAACATTTGAGAGGTTGAAATTATTAGTTAATTTAGTATAGTTACATTAGAAATCTGGTAAGGAATCAGTCCTTTAAAAAGGCAGTCCCTTTACAAAATAAATTGCAAATATTCAGCTTCTGAAATTAGTGTTCTAACTTTCAAAGGAGAAATAAGAAATACATAAAACAGATCACTTACTCATGTATTTTTACTTTGGTGAAATAAACGAATTTTATGGAATATTTCCATTAAAAAAAAAACTTGAATAAATAGGGACAGGTGATTAATAATTGCATTGTTTAATGAAGCATTTTTCTTTTTTCTTTTCTCTCAAAAATCTGTTAATTCGGTGGTTTAAAAGATCATGGGTTGGAAAGGTATAGCAATCACAGATAGACTGGAGACTGGATGTTTTATCCTCGTAATGGTGAAAAGTTGTTCTTTTTTTTTCAAGTTGAATATCAGTTCTGTTTGTGGTTAGTTTACTTGTCAACTGTAAATATGCAAGACGCCTGCCACTTATAAAAGTAGGGTGATTGTAAAATAGAGTTGTCTGGTTAATCTAAATACATTGAAAATGTGACACTGTTCCCAGTAGGCTTTGCAGGCTTCCCCACTTACTTATGTACCAGCTACTTAATGCAATTTCCTTGAATATAATGGTGGTAAACACTAATATATTGGCTTTGATTAAAAAATGTTTAAACATAGTAAATGTTCCTTTCAGAGACTTGAAGCCATATAAAGACATTATAAGAGTTTACATAGCTGATATAATAATCTTAAACATGCTGAAAATAAAATTCTGATGGTTTTACCTTCTGCATAGTTGTTAGTAGAGATACATTAGAATTAAATGTTGCTGGCTTTTGATTATTTTTAGGAAAATAAGTGATGTGACTCTTCTGTGATTTTTACTAGGTTTCCTTGTTTTTAATTGATTGCAAGATTCTGTGTTGATTTGAAATAATTCTTTAGTTTCTTTTTCTCTTCCTCTTAATTTTCCATTGTGAGATTAATGACAAAGATGAGTCATATACCTATGGTTTGTTCCTTTCTACAATGATAGGATGATGCACCATTTGCATTGATGTATTTCAGTATTGTCACATGATGAAGTCTCCATAAAACTATTGCAAAAAATTCCTTAAACTTTTTTTTTAACTTGAATTTTTCCAAGTGATGTTAATTTCCCAAAGAGGAATTTTTTTACTTTCTGATATTAGGAAATATGTATGCATCTTATTTATAAAATGTTATCATTCGGGAATTTTACATGAAGGATAAGTAGACCTTAAATTTTATGATTAAACATAATTTTTAAATGCTTCCATATACATAATGTTATTTGACCTCAAACTAGTCCTGCAACTGGACAGTCTGAGAAGAGAGTCACATTTTGTAGTTCAGCCGGCTTTGGTTCGGGGAGCCATCTCACTTGCCCAAGATTATATGGCTAATAAGCTGCACAGTCAGGGTTCAAACCCAATTCTTCTAACTAGTATCCTAGCACTTGTACCAGCGAGCCAGAGGGTGTGAAAAATACATTTCTATTGATATTACTTGAATTGAGAAAGAAAAGAACAGAATTGTCATTTATCTTTTTTTTCTAATTTAATTGCAACATTTTGAAGAAAATAGAACAAGACATTTCTGGGCAACTTACTCATTAATCA